GGGGGGGGGGGGGGGGGGGGGGGGGGGGGGGGGGGGCTTACACACGGTATTGTTGCCACGCTCGTGTAAGTAGCGAGGTATTCGGAGATCCCCTTCATAGGTCATTGGGTGTATACAATCGCCCTACCGTCCGTCTGTGGAGGACGATTGATGTTCTCTTTGACAGGGGTAGGGTCACTATTGTCCCTTTCGTGTGTGTGTGTGTGTGTGACACCCCCTCTTTGCTCCGTTCTCTCGAGGGCGCGTGATCAGCGGTCCAACAGCTCAGGCGCGAAACAGCGTGAGTACCCACCCGCTCCCTTCCTCCCTTAACGCACGATGAACGCGTAGGAAGAGATCGACCTATGGTGCCAGAACGAGGGCTGCGACCTCCCGGTTTACCTCTTCGCGAACAAGTGCGACCTGCTGAAGGAGGTTCAGGACAGCTTTCTCGCGGGGGCGAGGATGGAGAAGACTTGCCGAGACGCGGTATGTGTTCTTTTTTTGTTCCGTTCTGGTTTGTGCGATGACATGTTGCTTTTTGTTTTAGAAACTCGTGTCGCGGGTAGTCGCTGCTGTTCGCGGCCGAAGTTCTTTCGGTCACTCAGCTTAATTTTCGAGTGTCAGTCCTCTGCTACACGTTGCGGACGGCCTCTGCCGGCACATACAGCGAACACCCGCGCCGGTATCAGCCTACCCCGTCCGGGTCAAAACTCTGTTCTCATGAATAAGGTACCGCTTCGAAGCTTTATTGGCGTGGTCTTGTCTGGAGGGTAGCAACCATTGTTTTCGGCATCCCTCTAGTCAAGGTATTCCTATTCCTAAAGCAAGCCGACGAGCATCATTGACGCTGGTAAGCTCGCTTTTATTTGCTTCAGGCTTGAAACCGAAGCGAAGCAGCGCTTGGTCTTTATCCCATTTGTTATTCCCATCGTGAAAGCTTGGCTGTAGGCAAGCTTAGACTCTGCATTTTTGTGCGCGCGATACCGCTGAGCCTTGAAGCACTGAGTCTAGTCAGAAAGAATGGTTCGCGCTTCGCAGTCGCTATCGTATCGAATCGAATCGATTTTTTGAACCGATGTCCGACGATTTTTGTCCGCTGCAGAAAGCGGAAGCTGCTGAAACTTGGGGAGCGTTCATTACTTCTGCGATGCCCTACTGAGGCATGCCTCGGGTGTGGCGAGACGTGTACCGTAGCTGGATATCGGCTTCGGAGACCCGATCGGTCAAGGGGAAGACTGTAGCGAATACAAATGACGACAGATGGCGAGACAGACAGACAGACACACGGACAGCACGTGATTTTTTGGGCCGAGAGAGACCCGGGCTCTCCTAACCCCAACCCCAACTTGGCCGATTCTATAGTTTGTCCAGTACGTTTGCTTGCTTAGAAAGCCTGCGTAGGAGGCTACTGCGAGCTTGCGAATTCTCGGTCGGCTCTGTAAGGGTGGGACGATTTGGCAGCAACTAGCTACGGCCGGGTGAGTGTTGGTGGCAAGCGTGACGCGCTTGCTTGGCTCTGTCTCATGTGCCTTGGCTGTCCTCGATGAAAGTGGTTCTCTGTGACGGCTGTGTTTGGCTCTTTCTCGTACGCCTTTTCCGTCCTTGTGACGTCGTGGCTGTTCATGAACAGGGGTTCGCTGGATGGCACATCACCTCGGCGAAGCGGGGGGACAACATCGACACGGCAATGACGAGCCTCGTCAAGCACGCGCTTGAGGTAGGTATAGGTAATGCTACTCGGTGATTGTCTTTGAGACAGAATTGCGTTGTGTGGAAGAGCTTACCGCGTCAGAGCCGCCTTGGGAAGCAGCAAAGAATGTGGTGGTAAAGTACACCACCTGTGATGTGTTCGTCTACCACATATCCCGCGACATGTTCCACTTTGGGTAGTAAAAGTTGTGAAATTGTTGGCCAAAATCATCAGCGTTGCTCCTGAAAAGTTGAATATGAGCAATCCAAGCTTTGTCGGGTTATGGCCTCCCCAAGCTTTGCTTCTGGCATCGTTTTCTTCCTCCTTTCCCGTCCCAGATTTTTTCCCGGAAAAATCTGTACTCTCTTCGCCCCGGTCTTGCCAGATCATGTGCAAAACCACCAAACGGCGATGCATATATTCACTCTCGTTCACAGCAGTTGCCGGGTAGGAAAATTGCGGGGACTCAATGCTGCGGGTACTCAGTCGTATTTTCTTTCTACTGAACGAAATTCATGCACCGCAGGCCGAGGACCGAAGAAATCGTGGGCCGGAGGTGGCAAGTCCTTCGAGAGACGGTCGCGGAGTCGTTGGTGCAAAGAGGGGGGCGTTTCGACTGTCGTGCGAGGGACGACGGGAGGGGGTGCAACAGGCGGGACCGTGCTGCGCATGACACCAACAAACCCGCCCGTACTGTATTGGAAAGGGGCGACGCATGGCTGTGTGTGCCCCCCCCACCCCGGCGCCTCGCTGATGGCTTTCGTGGGAGGGGAAGGAGGGAGCGGGATCGCTTTGATACAATGCTATTAAATAGCTCGAATGGTCACGGCGTCCCTCTCGTCGTTGGTACGAGGTAATTAAGTTATCACGTGTTACAACTGGGGCAGGGTTTTACTTCGTGAGCAGGACCGAAAACTACGATTCGGTGACGACGACCTTTTCTTCAAGAAATGGTAAAGCAGCACGCATACGGTCGAGACGTCTGCTCCGATCGGCTATTCGGCCGTGTCCCGCTGAGGAAGTCTTGTCTATTTTTAGTTTTAAGCCGGTGGTGTGTAAGACGAAAGAGGCTTGTTGTTTGTTCCCACACTCGGTATTTGCGTACGTATTTAGTCGAAGCCCAGTCTTCCAGGTGTTTTATACTTGACATCTTTAGCGAGAGGTGCATGTGTTGGCGGGAAACAAGGGGTTTGAAAACGAGAGAGACGCAGACGCCTCCTCGATGATCATACATGTATCCCTTTGCGGTTCGAGATTCCAACGCTGCCTCGAACCGCGAAGGGATATCGATCAAACATCGACGAGGCGTTGGCGCGTATCTCTCTATCTCTCTGTTTGCACCTCCTTGTATCCCGCCAACGCGTCAACTCTCGCATAGATGACTAGATTTCCTTGAGTTTCAACGGTAACCAACCGTGACGTCACCAACACAACACGGTTGTACTGCTGTTGTGTTTTCCCGGTGCTGTGTGAGGATGGCTGCGAGGTATTTTTCGGGCACCGTGTGTTCTCGTCGGTTTGCCTAGCGTTTAGAGTCTACTGCCGATAGGTTGTTGTCCTCCGAGCTGTGGCGTGTTTCTTCGTGTCGCTGGTCTGTGGCGTGTTACAACATTAGATGTTCGATGACCAGCAGCCTAGCTGTGCATAGGTGCTGTCTGAAAGAGCGGCGGCGTTTGCAATCCTCCGCCTTGAGAAGGCATTGTTAGAGATACTTCATGGTTTGTTGGTCTTGGCGGTAACCTCGGTGGACTTGTTCACCTCTCAGTAATATCATACCAGACGAAAGTCGACCAAATATTCCTGAGTGAAAGCATGCTGTCACAATGCCTGGATCAATCCCGAAGGGAGTGGGTGTATCTATCCCAACGGAGTCGAGAGCTAACTGGCGCGCTCCTGTTGCCGCCTCCCAAGACTCGGAGGATGACAAACGCGCCCTGAACAACGCTCACTTCCAATTTTTTTCTCGGGAGAAGAACACTAATAGCTCCATCCTTCAATGCACATATTTGGACATTAACGTCTCGGCGTGTGTGGACGACGTCCTTCTCGGCGCTTCCAAGAGCCAGGCGCTCGAAAGATAGGTGGACGTTACTGCCGTACGACTGTCCTGTAACAAGGAAGAACGCTACGGTGTTGCCTGCAGTCATCGTTCGTATTCCTCGTGTTGAGCATGCATTGTAGCCGACCGATCGATGCCGAAAAAACAGCGGTCGTCCATCGCACTTCATCATTTCCTGCTGTGCTAGACCGAAATTCGGTGCGCGCCCCCGTTGACGCACACACCGAACCCGCTAGCTAGTTTCACGTGTCCAAGCGTCAAGACGACGAATAATACAACCAACGCCCAACCTGCACCCACGTTTGTTCCCGTATTGAATTGACGATTCAACAACACCACGTGCACCGTCCGTGTCGTTCTGCGCGCTCGGGGGGTTAGAAACCGCACGCGCCAACGGGTGCTAAACAAAGAGTGGTACACCACCGCCGCCGCCGCCGCCGTTGCCGCAGCTGGCGACAGAAACGGTCTCACGGCCCCTCGTAGTCGCCGTCGATCCTGCCCCAGAAGTTGGTGTTGTCGTCGTCCACGTTGGCGAACTCCCGGCCCAGGTTGTCCTGGTAGGCCGTCAGCATGGGCTCCACTTCGGAAGGCCCCAGCATGGGCTCGATGTCGGCGTCTTGCACCTGGACGGGGATGGGGGGCACGAAGGCGCACGGCAGTGGGTGGGTGTTCGTCCCCATCTATTCTAGCGCCAGTCTTCAGCCTTTCGCGTATTATATCTGACGCATCAGCCGGCGGTCACCCAAGAGGAAGGTCGCGCAGGAGCTTTTTTCATGCAGCCGGTTGTCGAGGATATCTCGTTCCATCCAGACCTCGCGTTCCTGCTCTCGAAAAAGAAGGTGAGACGCCTTCTTGACATGGCTGTCAGCCCCAACATCAGCGAGGGCATACTGACATAGCGTCTCCGGCGCCGCAGGAGTATCTTCCTCCCATAACACGTCCATGTCTTTCTTCTGTTAGGGTGCGCGTCACTGCGGCTGTGGTAATGCTCTTACCGCGATGATGTCCCTGCAGCACTCTTCTGGGAGGACGGTGTCGAGGGCGGCGATGTTCTGGTCGATCTGGTACTTGTTCGTCGCGCCGACCAGGGCGGCCGTGATGAACGGCCTGAGGAAAACAACACACACGCGCACGCACGCACATGTTAGTGGCACTCAGACCGACGTCCGTCACTCAACAACAATGCCCAGTGCGGATTCGGCTGGTACGTCGAACACATGCACCGAAAGCTGTAGACTGCCGCCCAGGATACATGGACAAAAACACTCACAAATACACATGTGCAAGACAACAAAAAGCAGCGTTTCAAACTCCTACGAACATGCCACTCTCGCCTCTCCCAAACCAAACACTAGGTGCTCCCCTCGACAAGCACCGGTCAGAAGAACCCAGCAGCCTGCTTCCATGCACCAGGTACATAACTACCCAACACACACAAAAACCAAAACTCTCGATAAATTAACTCACTTGTTGTGGACGAAGGCCGTGGCTAGCTGGTGCACCGACAGGTCGTACTTGCTCGCGATCTTCTGGTAGACCTCGAGCTGGCTGCGCATCCTCGGGGAATTGTACCGCCCCTGGAAGCCGGGGTAGTCGTTCAGACGGAGCCCCGTTTTCTGTGGGACGGCGGTGGTACGGGGAAGTAGAAAATAGTTGAGATCCCAACCACCTCTCAAACGAGTTTTGGCTGTACAAGCAACCGCGGCTCGGTGTTTTTTCGAAATAGCGGAGGTCTCCAAATACCCGGTATAGAGCACAAGAGTCAAAAACGCGTGCGGGGTGCAAATAATGAGGACACGGGGTGGTGGGTAGGGGATCACGTTTAAACGCGATTTTGGGCGCTGACAGGGTTGATGGGTGCGCATACGTGTTCGTGTAGAGGGGGGGGGGGGNGGGGGGGGGGGGACGTGATTCATGTCGTGTCTTGTATTGATCCTGAAAGCCGGCGAAGACGTTCCATCAGACATACTATTGCTGTACCTTCCTTGCGCGAGGATGATCGGAAGGGTCAAAAGCGGACGGGTGCCGGAGAAGGGAAACAAACCGCATCTGCTTTGGTTATTCGTCACCCACTTCGCCCGAGCCACACACAGTTAGACCTCGAGATTAGACCGCTAACGACCAGCAAATATCGGCATAACAACCAGCCCAAAAAACTTTTTTTTTTCCTGACTCGGTGGCCGAAATATTATTATCTTGGATTGAGACCGGGATTTACCAATCAAAAGTGCTGGCCCCAGGTGGAGAGTTAGCGCTTCAACCTTACAACACCTGTCTACAGATCATACTCTATGAATCACCCGGTTTGGATTTATTGTCCGCACCCCGGAAGACTGAGAACATACGTTTTATACTGGATTCTAAAGGCCTTTGGCCAGGTTTCTCGTTTTTTTCCCGTTGAGTTCGAAAAACTGAACCGGGTGATCGCTTCCTTTGGGTTTTGCGCACACACCGCAACAAACCGCATCCCGATCCTAGCTGCTGCGGTAGAGAGATTGCAAACGCCGCAAAGCCTCTCATGGGCACCGCTGGACGAAAAAAGAAATGGACAAAGGGGAGGAGAACAAAAAGCTTCAAGGAACAGGGCGAAAACGTTATGGCGCGAACTGGTATCACGTTTTCCCAAGCGGGAGTTGATGCGCGCCGCTTGAAGGCTCTCGAGGACAAGGACTACCCTGCCTTGAAGCGAATATGCGTCGCTCACGTCAACAAGCTGAAACAGGCGGCTGCGGTGAAGCGCAAGCTTGCCGCAAAGCAAAAATTGGCAGAGGAGGGAGCGAAGAAGCAAGCGCGGATGCTGGAAAACGAAGAGGAGCGGATGTGTAGCATTCGGCGGTGCCGTGACCGGACTTCTGGCAGGCGGAAATGCACAGAGAGTGAGCTATACCCAGCTCGTGCATGTGGTGACAAAGAAGTCTCGGGCTTGTCCAAAATATTGTGACGTGTCCACCCATCCTGCTGTTTTGATTGGTTGGAAAATATTTTTAAAAGTCTACTCGGCTAGCGACCAAGGGCATTTTTTCGCCCTGAAAAACTTCTAATCTCGAGGTCTAACAGTGTCGACACTTTCGGGGAGAGGCGAGAGAAACGTGCCCCTAGTGCGGGGTGTGTCCTTCCATGGACGCACGTCACTTGTTTAAGGCTGCAACCGGCGTCCCGTTGGTGAAAACGCTTCGGCAGGTCGTCGGGCTGCCGCTGAAAGTGCCAACAGATCGACAACGACAGTAAAAGAAAAAAAAAGACGCACACAACACAACACAACAAAAGAGCAGTGGCAAATAGAAAGGAACAGACAAGAAAGAGACAAGGGCAAAGACGGAGAAAAAAACAAGAACAACTGAACACAAAAACCACAATTTGTATTTCTACCCTGAATATGGGAACTTACCCTGTCCCACTGGTTGCGCTCGTACAGGTACTTGCCGCTGAAGACACCCCCGCCCAAGGTCTGAGTAGCCACGATAGCCACGTTCTCCTGCCTCGGGGTGCACGCCTCCACAAGGTCTGCAGACGACAACAACAACAACAACAGCACCAAACGGCAGCAAGGAAAGCAGGGATTTACGGCAGCAACGACGGATCGCAATGCCAGCAACCAGCGGTAGCAGCACGACGACGACGATAACGGCGGCAGAGTACGGCGGCAGAGTCGACAGCTGACAACAGCAGCAACGACAAGAACACTGACGGCGACAGCAACAGCAGCCGCAACAACAACAACAACAACAACAACACAAAGTGCCCGTTTCGCTTAAAGGAAGTACTTCTTTGGTGGCGGGTGGGTGGCGGTACACTCACCGAACTCGACCTTGTTCTGCGTGAAGAGGTTGTACTCCTGGGTGCAGAAGGCGATCTTCGGCAGCTCGTCCCAGATCGCGTGCTCGCAGTACCGAGTAACGCCGAACGCCGTGTCGCCCGCCGTGGCCACGTGACGCACCTGTGTTCGCGTGTTTTTTTTTTTTTGTTATTACGAGCATCGACCGTGCTAGCCGACTGGTCAGTGAGAAGATGTCAGTCTCGTTCGGGTTGAAAACACAACATGCTTCCAAAGGCCATGACCACGATTATGTGTGTGTTGTGTTTCATAATTAGCATTGACCGCGTTAACCGGCCGGACAACGAACAGACGCCAGTCTTGTAGCAGGACAAACAAAACACCAACACCTTGTGATCCTGGGGCTCTACCAACAGGGGGGGGGGGGCGCAGCAGTTGGATGACAGAGTCCTGCTTCTGAAGCACAAGGAGAAGACTCAATACTGTACTATCAGACAGCATTGATGCTGCTTCATCTCGTCCTCCTGTGCTAGTGTCAGTATCGTGCGCTGGGTTGCCTGTATACATGTGCGCTTATTGTCATGGACCGTGCTACCCGGCTGACCAATGAAAAGACGTCAAGCTCACAGGTGGCTTAACATGAAAAACGCTTCCAAAGACCATGATCTGGGGACTTGTGGGAGCCATGGAGGCTAGTAAGTGCTTCCTTTACAATTAGCACCGACCGCGCTTAAACAAGCTGGCCAATGAACAAAGGTCACTCTCACAGCCCAAAACGAAAGCGAAAAAGCCTTTTCGTTAAAGAGCAAAAGGGAAAAGCTACGAAGTGTCCTGGCGGGACAAACACAGCCTTGTACAGCAACCAACAAGAGCGAATCGACCGAAAAACATGCAGAAAAAAAAATCGGAACGAGAACACGAGCTGCCGGTGATCCAAGCACTTAAAACTCTCGACAGGAGAAGGAGGGAGGGGAGGACAGGGGGAGATGAGTCTGATGAGTTGTGCAATATGTGCAGCGTCAGCATTTTGGGGCAAAAAAATCGACGGGAGGGAGGGACGGTGCCATGGCGGCTTACCAGTCCCTGCTCCTTGAGTTCCTGAACGATCATGAGCTGCTCCTCAAAGTCCATGTACGTCTGGTGCTCGTCCGATTTTTTCCAAAAGTAGTTTCCGGGGTGCTGTGTTTGTCTGGAACGGGGGAAGACGACAAACAGGAGGGATGGAGCGTTCTCATTGGTTGCTTGCCTACATTCCCCGGCACTGCCCGGTCCCTCTACTCTTGGTCTCGCTTTCTCCCTCTCCCTCTCTCCCCCCCTCTCTTTTAGCCACGCCCATGTGCAGAAGGAACCCAGGATCGTGGGGGCAACGTCTTTCATTCGGCAAAGAATCATGTCATGTTGGACCTTCAGAATCACAAACAACATTGAAACATGCCAAACCAACCCACCATGGTAGAGAAAATACTGTGGGGGAGAGAGAGAGAGAGAGAGAGAGAGAGAGAGGGAGGGAGAGAGCACGTCCATGATTGATCCGTACCGTCGATGTAAACAAGACCTGTCCAGACCTTGTTACGTATTTACTTGTTACAGAAACAGCAAGAACGGACGATCACGCCGACTTTGCACCGAGCATGATGACGATGGTTTTAACACCTTCTGCTGCCCCAAGCGTGCAAACAGACCACAGGAAACGCCTACAATGAAAATGGAAAGACAGGACCCAAGACTCTGCCGTGTGTACGACACTTACCTTTCTGGCCAGTCTCCGAAAGATAGGACGTCGATGTAGTCCGTGCCCATCCTCTCCAGGCTGCCGTGCACGCTCTCCATCACGTGGTCGCGGGTGAGCTTGGGGAAGGTACCGTCCTTGCGAAGCCAAGTCAGCTGCTCGTGCCGCCCCGCCACCTGTTTGGGGAGACGAAAAGAAAAATGTCCAAGCAACAGTCGGACGTTTGCCAATGTAGGTGAGACGTGGACGGCACCGTGGCCAAAGACTACATGTTCGTATACCCCTGCGGGGAATCGTGCTCCTCCGAAACATTTTTTTTCCCAACTATTAAAAAAGCAACGTAAACAAGCGCCAGGGCTTCCTCTTTCGGCCGGGTGCGTGCTGTTTCGTAATTTCCAGCAAGTGTTTCTGTTCTTTTTTCTTTCTTCTGCTTTCCACTTGCTTCGTTCGTGTTGAGGTTCTGAAATTCTGATTAGCTGGCTGGCTGGCTGGCGGCTTCTCCTTCGGGCTTGTTCGCGCCATCACTTATCTTCTTCTAGAGGGGACGAAGGAACATTGTAGTCAAGCAACAACCAACGCAACAACAACAACTTCTAAAACGGCGGCGGTAGCAACGGCAACGACGACGCTAACGACATGTACATTCCGGTATACCTTGGTGCAGAGGATAACCTTAGACCTATCTCGCCCCTTAAGCCAGGAGCCAATGATCGGGTCAGCCTTGTGCGCGTGCTCCGGAATAATAGGGTGCCTAAAAATGAAGGTTCCCCCCGGAAACAAAATCAAGGGCGGCGGGGCAGCCACCGGAGAAGGCGGACGGGGGTATTAGGTTCTGGAAAGGGAGGCACGCGCAGCGGGAAACTACCCACGCAGCCTCATGCAGACGCCAGACCTTTGCGGTTGGCGTGGTTGAGGCTGACCAAGGAGACGGTCGCGCGAGACGCACTTTGCCACAATTCCTCTCCCCGTCCCCTCTCTGTCGGGGGAAGCCAGCCGACTATCACAGAAACCGTGTGTGTCCGCGCGTTTTGCGGCTCTCTACCAGACAGGAGTTTTTTTCCATTGGTCAGTCGGTTGGCGCGGGCGATGCTAACCAACGAAACACAAAAACACAAAAACATGCATTCAGACGATAGGACCAAGGAAAGCGTGGACTTCGGAAACAAAAAGTATGCCCCCGCAACAACGCTCGTTGCGCGCCAGGGTGAGCCCACTCGAGGCGCAGCCCGGGGCGGGCGGCACACAACTTCTCGTTCCATCTCGCGCCTCGTTCCCGAGAGTGTACAGAACCTTCTTCGGTCTGAGACAGCAGTGCCTGTTTTGGTTGGCATGTCATCCATCTAGACGTATTTCAAGCCCTACTAACCATCGCCAAGGACTCTCGGGACGCAGCACTACTTCGACTCATCACAGAGCAGTGGCACATGGTGAAGAATGTGTTTGTGCCTCTGGGGGAAAAAATGGTAGTCGGAGCAACATCTGTGTGTGTGTCGACTTTGGGGCATAGCCAATCGGCATCCTTGCGGGCCACAAAGAGATAGTTCGAAGTGCTTGCGAACCCATGCGTGCTCTTGGGGGCGTCGGCGAAGGGACGAGGGGGTGGGGGGGGGGACGCCGTATCATGATAGTCTTCACACACCACATGGGGCTTCGTGGAGCAACACTACGAACGGACAATGGGTGGGGCGCTCCAGCTACACTTCGAAGTAGAAAGCTACGACCTTACGTGATGGGGTAGAATGCACGAAACCGGCACATTCGATGGTGTGTGCATCGCACATGTGGTAAGAAGATACACAGAGGACAACAAAACTCACGGGAAGCTCTCGGACGTGTCCAACCAGTTCATACCGGCCACGTCAAAAGCGTGGTTGAGCGTTTCGTGCGTTTGCTCCTCGCTCATCTGGCCTCCGACCATCATCCCACCATACCCAATCTGTTCGTTTTTTGTTCGTGATTGCACACGCGAAACAAAGGAGCACGCGGGCACCGGGGTGGGGGGTATGAGCAGGCAGGGACAAGGACAGGGTGGGTGGGTGGAAGGGGTCACTTCTATAACAACCAGTGTGACAACNGGGGGGGGGGGGGGGGTGGGAATCGTCTCTGGGAGCTAGCTCGTCTGCTAAAAGAACACACGCAAGAGATTTGCTCCTACAGCCACAATAACGGCAACGTAGATACGGCTTTCGTGCCCACTTCCGCTGCTTGCGAGTCTCGCATCTTACAAGCTCTGCCTTCGGCGAACGTACCAGGACTCGTGACTGTCGGTTCGTGAGTCGGCAGGTAACCATCACGTCTGATACGTAAAACTTGCGGAAACAGCATCACGCACTTGGGTGGACGGGGGGGGGGCACACAGAAGGGTTCCAAATACCAGAAGAGATAACTCACCCTAGAAACCATGAGCCCGCTAGTCCCAAGCTCCACGTAATCCTTCTCCTCGAACTTGTTCCAATCCCTGTCCTCGTCGCTAATCCCGTCGTGGTACGTGTTCAGGTACCGGTACGCCTGCATCGCAACCCCCCCCCCCGCCCTTCGTCNNCGCCTGCATCGCACCCCCCCCCCCCGCCCTTCGTCTCCGGAACCCCCCCTCAGTTGAGGCCCCGCCGAACGGCGACGCTGCTGATGTTGCTATTCCCGAGCGTGATGCCTCGCGAAGCTGGCGTTGAGTCCCCACCCCAGCCACCCCGGCTCTGCTGTCTCTCAGCGCAGGGTTGGAGCCGTACATGAACGGTCCCGATCGCGATGATCGTGGTGCTCCTCGCGCCGACCTCCTGCCGCCTGCGAAAGTGCCACTGCTACTGCTGCTTCCGCACACGCTGTTGGAGAAGCACGGCGATATCCGAGACCCCGATCGACGTGCGCGCATGGTTCTTCCGGTCGCGGCAGTAGCATGGTTGTGGCTAGTTGTGACGACTCTCGCTCTGTTGGGTGTGAAGCCGAGGTTGAGGTTGAAGGCGGTAGCGACCGCCGTGGACGCCGCGAGGACTGACACCGCGTGTCTCATCTTAACAACGAGAGAGAGAGAGAGAGAGAGAGAGAGAGAGGCGGAGAATAATCACGAACAGGAAGGAACAAAGGGCTACCATACATGTTTACTCATGCTGTTGGCATGCCGCAGTCTGAGGGTGTGCACATAGGACACGGGAACAGCAGGTGACATGAGAGGAGTTAGCGGTGTTGGAGCGACAGGATGATCGTGACCCACCAAGCAAGAGTCGGGATGATTCTTTTCCCAGAGCTCTGAGCCCTGGTTCTACCGTCTGGAAACGGAAGGAGGCTACAGCGGTGTCCAGCGACACAACAACGTCGGTAACCGCCAACCGCCCGGGCAAAATTTGTTGCTGAAGCACACTATGTAGCAGTTGCTCTCGCCTCGGTTATTTACTCTCTTATACCTAGAAACTCCCAACTGCCACCACCTTTCTTGAAGTACTGACACACTCACGGCAACCTGTTGACTATCTTTTGCCAACAGACATTGGCAGGCGACGACGGAGAGCATCAGCGCTGTGTGCAGCTGTGCACATGACATGATCGCTGTGCTCGTGTGCTGGTCGTCAAGTGCAACGACTAAGATTGCCCGTCAAAACGCGGGGAACAGAACGGTATTCCCTTCACCTAAAGAGCCAATGCAGTGAATTGTGGCTACAACAACAGATCCATGCCATGCATGAGAGCGTGAGAGACAGGAGCGGCGAGAGAGAGAGAAGAGGTACGAGCGGCCTCACTGCTCCTGCTGTGTGAGGTAGCAACTGATTCAGCAAACAAAGCCATTCAAGCGCGCCCTGTGTCTAGTGCTGCTTGCTTTACGCACTCGTACAGCACAGCACACCAGAAAACGCTAGCGAAACTCAACGATGAGATCACTGCTGTCTTTTCGATCCATCTGGTTCTACTGCAACTCACCTTCGTCTTGTCAGCGTGCTGCTTATGCTGTTTGTGTTGTGTGCGGTGCTGCCGAGAGCAACCCGGGGGCACCGCAGAGCCAATGATGACCTCCGTGGTACCTATTTGCGTACAATAGGCGAGTTCCCTGGTTTGACATGAGTTCTGCGCCACCCAGCAGCATCAGCGCACGAGCGGCAGCACAGCAGCACCAGCAGCGATAGGAGGCCGACGTATAGCCATGCCGCCGAAGCGAGGGAAGAAAGGAAAGCGCAGGGGAGACTCTTCCTCCGACGACGATGCAGTAGCAGCAGCGGTGACGGCATCTCTCAAGAAGGCTGCTCTAGTCGACGACGACGCCCCAGAGGAGGGTGCAGCAGCGGCAGCGGCAGGCAAGGGCCGGCAGCAAGCCAAGGGCGGCAAGGCCAAGGGCAAGAAGAAGGGGAAAGGGGGAAGAAATAACAACGATTCCGACAGCGACGAAGGCGACGCGCTGGACCCCTTGGCCCACCTTCGCGGCGGAAAAGGGAGGCTGGGCGGTGGTGGCGGTGGCGACTCGGACGAGGAGGACCGCCCCAAGAAGCCACTTACCAAGAAGGAGAAGCGCAGGCTGGAGGAGGAGCAGCGTCAACGAGAGAAAGAGGTGTGTATGGGTGTGATGCAGCACTGCTGCGCAGGCGGCAACAGGCTTTGATGCGCACATTTTTTGAAGAGGAGCAGTTTCGACTGCTGCGTAGCGTATCTGTTACGACATTGCAGCAGCTGTGCGAGGTTGAAACGTGCATGTAAACATGTTGCCTCCGAGTGGCGTTTGAGATTACATACTCGAAGCTTGATCTCGTCAGCGTGGCCCTCTTGCAAGCAGTAGTGTCCGCGTCTGGTGCCTTTCTCGCACAATGTTCTCTCTGTAGTAGTGGACACTGGCGCTCAATACATAAATTGGAACTATCCAGTACAATATTTTAGTCTAGATCGCATTGATTGGTTCCATCCCTTTTCGCGCCCCTTCCGCGGACCGGTTCCAGTGAGTGCTCTAGAAACAGCTACTGTCGAGCTGCTTTGGATATTTGCACGTCGTCACAGAGCAGCAGACAGGGGCGCAGGCTGGACACTGTGCATGTTGAATACGCTGAAGAACTCCGGCGACCCCCTGCGTGCGGTTACATAGTTCTCGCCGAAGGTTCACGCTCGCAGCTAATATATGGCGTCACTACTTGAACCATGTACCGCTGTGGGCTATGCATCCTGAGCAGTTGGAGTTGTTTACTCCCACCTGTTGGGCTCGATGTCTGGCTACCCTCGGGTGGTTCACGTACCCAAACGTCGTTCCCGTGCGGGCTGGACGACGTTGTCCAGCCCAACGAACCTCATCGTTCATGGAAACATGGACTTGCGGTGGTTTTGCGGGTTTGTGGTGGTTTTGCGTCTTGCAGCGGCCGTACCACCTGCACGAGATACCGCACACGATGCAGATGTTGATGCTTGTTTTCGCTACAGCCTCGTTTCCGTGGAATGCACTTCTTGCTTCGCTTTTGGTTAGCACTCTTCACCATGGGCAACATCGTCGTGTTCGGCGCCTTAGCGTATCGCATATAGGATCGAATTCCCTTGTTCCGCCTTATTTCTCTGGCCAGACCCGCACAAGTCTAGACTGACTGCTGTTTACGGCCAGTGGATGGACTTGCCAATGTATCCAAATGGAAATATCTGGACTCTATCAGCATGTACGTACCTAGAAGTAAGCCGTTTTGTGTTCCTTTCGTGTCACCGCTACAGCAGTGATGCCTCCTCGGGCATCATACCTTAGCCAACATCTTTCGTGCCACAACTAACAACTAATCACATATCATTTATGCGGTTGGTTTGGCCCTCTCGCTCTCCACGCACATCAGGCGGCCGGCGGAGACTCCCAGGATGTCGAAGATGGGGCCGAAGACAACGCGAAGGGCCAAGACGCGGACGACATGGCCCCGAAAGACGGCTACGGTGATGAGGGGGCAGGAGAAGACGCGGAGGAGGGTAAGAAGAAGAAGCCGCTGACCAAGAAAGAGCAGCGCAGGCTGGACGAGCAGGCGCGGCTGCAGAGGGAGCAGCAGGAGGTACGTCTGGCTGCAAGTGGTGTACATAAGAGCCTCGGCTGGAGAGTTGTACAGATGATTTTTCGGGATGACGTGTCGGAAACACAGCAGGTGTCGTTGGTTGTGACAATTGTTGAGCGCATTTTTGTTCGACAGCTGGAGAGCAGGTCATGTCATCCAATCCTGCCTGTGTTGAGAGTTGCTTATCTTGCGCTTTTTTGTACTACAGTAGTACCGCCTCCGCAGGTCATGCCATCCAATCCTCCCTGTGTTGTCCCCATCGCGCGTGCGACTCATGTTCTGCGATGCGACCCAGGAAGAACGAATCGCCGCCGCTGACGCCGCGGCTGCTACGGCCGAAGCGGAGCGTGCTGCCGGCGAAGGTGATGCCGTCGGTAATGCCACGGAGCCTGCCGCGGGGCAATCCAACAAGGGCAAGAAAGGAAAGAAGAAGGTGAGTTATTGTTTGAGTGATTGTTAAATCGTCATGTTTTTTCTGATGGGCGTGTGGCACAGCGTGTTTTTCCACCGGGCTGTGGTTAGTCCCTCTCCCCACCTCCTGAGTTTTTTGTCCACGGTAAGGGGAGCTGTAGGACTTGCAAGAGAGGCGTTGGCTGTGGAACAGTCCACCTGAGAGATCCGGGACGGACGTTCGTTTTCACTCGTGACAGCCGTCCCCCCGACCCGCCCATCGTTAGAACAACCGACCCTTGGTGTTTGTGTGACGAAGGGACCACTTGTCAACCTCAATTTAGGCGTCTAAGTTACACCAAGGACAACACAAGTGAGTGTATGCATATCTCCCCTAAGCACCCCGTCGCCCGCTGACGTAATAAAACGGCTGAAACAACCCTCATGTCTTTAACCGGCCTTTTGTTAGGGGAAGAAAGGCCGAGGGAACGACGGTAGCGATAGCGACGCCGCGAGAGAGGGGGGCGAGGACGCTCTTAGCCGCGGCATGGAGTCCCTGTCCATCGGCGGCAACCCTGCCGCTGCTCCGGCCAAGCTTTCCAAGAAGGAGCGCAAGAAAGCGGAGGCCGCTGCGTTAGCCGCTGCCGAAGCAGCGGCAGCGGAGGATGAGGCGGACAGCAGTGATGATGATGATGATGCAGCAGAGGAGGCAGCAGCAGCAGCAGCAGCAGCAGCAGCAGCAGCTGCGAAGAAGGAAGCGAAGTTGGAGACGGAAAGAAAGGCAGCCGCTAATGCTGAAGCCGCTGCTGCTGCTGCCGCTGCTGCTGCTGGCGCCGCCAGCGACGACGAGGAGGACGACGGTCAGAAGAGGCGCATGTCTAAGAAGGAGCGGAAGAAGGCCAAGCTGCAGGTACATGGAAGGCTCAAGAGGGTGCCCCATTTTGATATTTGCCGTCTTTGAACCTCTGACTACATCCGAGGTGGGGAGCAGGGTACCAAGCCCCTCCGTTGAAATATGCTGATATCTACACCCACACCAGAGCGGCCTCTCGTCCTCGCATCGACTCCCGTTGTCCCTTCCATTCCCGCGGTGTATTCTGTGTGAAACCATCGGAGAGTGCGCCTCGTTCAACAAACAACGACTGTTCTTTCCGTTTCTTTCTTCGGTGCTGCCGCCTCATACGTAAATGTGCACACCGGAAATCATTGTCGGTCGATAAAGAAAAAAAACGGAACATGAAGTCTCATACGGTCAAACCCACCCCTCCCTTACAACAGGCGGGCAAGAAGAAGGGGAAGGCATCGGCGGCGGAAGAGGTGGTGGTAGAGGAACCACCGCCGCCGCCGCCCGCTGCCAAGCCCGACAGTGACGAGAAGAGACGTCCGTCCCCTCCTCTTCTCCCCGCCGCCGCCGGCGTGCAGCCTTCGTCGATGGATGTACAAGAAGAAGCTGCTGCTGCTGCTGCTGCTGCTGCTGCTGCCCCTGTCGCTGCCGCCGCCGAGGCAACGGCGGAGGGAGAAGCTGCCGCAGCACCTGCCGTCGTCACCAAGCCGAAGAAGAAGGAGAAGAAATCCAAGCTCATGAAGAAGCTGGAGGAGGCCGCCCGCCTCAAGGCGGAGGCGGAAGCTGCCGCCGGCGTTACGGCAGGCGGCGGCGATGACGCGGCCGCTGCGCGGCAAGCGGCCGAGGATAAAGCCGAGGAGAAGAGGCGGAAGGAGGAGAAGAAGGCCCGCAAAGCTAAGAAGGAGGCCGCCAAGGATAAGGACTCCAAGGTGCAGCGTAATTTGTTGGGGCCCGTGTGGTCGGGGGGGGGGGAGTACGCCACATTTTGCTTCATGCACGTCTTGGCCTGTCTGCTTGATTTGTCGGCTGCATTCCTCTACCGAACCATCCTCGTCGGCTGGCTTGGTGTGGGAGTGGTGCTCTTTGGCTCCTTCATGGCGCTTTCGCTTTTTGCCTGATCTCCCGTGCACCAGGGTTGGCTTGGAGGGATGTGGTTGGTCGGTGTGCCATTTCTCATGAAAAATAGGAGTTGTTGTTATTGCTTGTACTACGCAAAGTAGCGGTGGAGGTATGGTGGGAGAGAGAGACGGCATGGCTAGGAATATTTTGTTCTCTCGCTTCTACTACGGACAGTAGCGATGGGGTTATGGTCGGAGAGAGGCAGGGAGAGCGCAGGGATGATTACACCGAAACATCCCGGAGTTCCATCTTGGCCCAGTTCCTGGGCCACGGGACGATGCCGGGCAAACATGTCATAGTTACACTGACCTGTGCTCCTCTCTGTCGACCACGTGTCTATTTTGGTTTCTTCTCACCCCTTATTTTTTCATAGTATCTCTATTTTTTTTCTGAATATCCTATCTCTTGACCGTTTGCTCTTGCACGGCCCAACTGGCTGGACGGTTTTCCCTGCCCACGTATGCACCAGGGCATGACAGCGCTGTTTGTCAGTCGGATAGTGTCGCTTTTACACCTTTCGGCGTCGTTTAGCGTTGTCGATCAACACGCACACGAAACTGCTGCTGTTTTCATCAGTACGATCTTGTGGAAACAGTAGTGTGCGGAGAGATGATACTTACAGTAGCTGTTTTTTTTGTCCTTGTCTACAACCCTCTGTCGGGTCATCTATTTTCCCTGCTGTGGATATGAATATTTGCATTGTCCTGCACGGTCTGTGTTGTGTGCACAGGTGAAGAGTATCCTCGAGGACCTGGACGACGCGGCGTATTACGGAAGCGACCACGAGGAGCGGGCTAGCAGGGCTGCCAAGGGCGGGGCGAAGGCGAAGGAGACGGTTGAGCAGGAGCTCGCTCGCTTGGTGAGAAACTGGGGAGAGAGACAGGGAGAGGGAGAGGAAGAGAGAGAGACAGAGAGAGAGAGAGAGAGAGAGAGAGAGAGAGAGAGAGAGAGAGAGAGAGAGAGAG